ACAAATGTCTGCTGTATCTAATCAATTGGCCACTGTCTTATTCAAATATTTAAGAGCTTTTATAGTACCTAGGTATATATGGGATATCGCGGCTTAACACTGTTTTGTTTGTAAGACTGTAACGTTTGCGTATACACCTATAAGCACGAGACAAATAACGTTTCGTGTAAACACGTTCCGCATCGAATTATACAACAACAATAGTAACTAGGTATATATATATATATTATAATGTTATAATAATTTTTCGGGGCGAGTATAAAACACACAGGTGTATTATGTAAATTTTATACCGTTTTGCATAATTTTTCTCGTACACGTGTATAATTTTATTTATACGACTGTTTTGCCTAATTAAATTCCACTCTTTGTGCGCGAAATTAACTTTCTATTGTAATGCGACCTTAAACACCGTTTCCTACCTACCTACTGCGATATTTTATCATCAAATATACATTTTCTTTTGAAAACACAACACTGTAAGCACAATGTGCCCACCACTATATATTCTGTATACTTTATTTTTTTTTGCCCTTTATATATTTACGCGTAGGTTATTTCGTGTATTATTACAACGTTTGGTAACACTGTTTGTATGTATCGTAGATCACTATAATAATTAGTGTATATTTTATCACGAGACAAACCTCCGCCTAGGTTGCAATTCTCGTATCAATTTGTATATTATGCAAGTAAAAGTATACTGCACTAGTGTAAAACAACTATATACGCCACGCCCAGATGGTGGCTTTAGTTATACAAAAGTGAAGCAAGCAAAATATCAAATTACGATATGACCAAATGTGCACGATAAAATACATTGATAAAAATATTGTATCCCACTTGGTCAAATTATATGTTATCAGTTCTCTATAATTAATAGCTATCAGCTGCTGTACCGCGCAATATTGTAATATATGTATATGATAATATACCCTACGGTGATAAAAATCAGGCGAAACTACAGCTTGGCGAGTAAAACATTTTACTTCTCCGTATATGGTCACACTGAAATTCGCTGTTTTGGTCGCTTCATATCGCTATGCATACAGGAGTATAATATTTAATGGCATATTTACTCTATGGCCACGCCAAACTCTAAGCGGCATTTTAATGCAAAGTAAAATTTTCAGTTTCTGAGTGTATAGCAAAAAAGCTATTGGTATAAAATTAGTTATTTTTCTCGGGTTATCCGCCCGTATAAAAATTATTATTTTTGTATAATATTATGGATCAAAAATAAATATTAACGTATGCATTTTATTATAAATCGTTTAGTTTTTGTAAAACTGTGTTTATTTTATGATAAGATTTAATCGAAATAATATATAAATGTCGATAATATTTTTCGAATATTCCATCAGAACTAAATGTATAATATAAATATTTATTTTATATTCTTAAAGGTTAACTATTGAATATACATTAAAAAAAAAAAAAAACTATACAATTCGTGTATAACAGAATCGTGTCTAATAATTGTGGTTTTTTTTTTTTTTTGTTTTAGGTAAGAAAAATGAAAAAAAAAAAATACTGATATTGCCGATTGATGTGTCACCGTTGTAGTTGAGAAGTCGGGAAGGTAGGATATTATAAAGGTATTTTTGATAGATATATTAGAAAAAAAAAAAAAAAAAAAAAACTAAAATTAATTAATAACGAATCCGGATGTAAAAACCGGAGTACCCAAATAGCGTAAACTGTCAATGAGTTTCGAACAACTCCCGTCGCATGTACATGTAAACTACTGTTTAATTATAATACATTTGTTAACCCATAATCATTTCTTCATATTAAAATGCGCGGATAAAACAGCCTTCCAGCACTTTTTTCCGTTTGCACCGATTGGAATTAATGTACCCTCGACGGGGACATTCGGTCGGGCCGTTAACAGACCGCTTAGTGAAAACCGCGTTGGAAAATTCGCAACCGTCCGTAAGACAAAACGTACACGGGTTAGACGGTCGGACAGTCGGACACGGGCAAACTTCGCTTGCGCTACTTAACGGCGTGTATAATTTGTACGCTATCAGTGTGACAAGAAGTTGACTAAAGTATTTTTTTTTGTAAACACATTTGTTCGGACCCAACGACCTTGTAAGGACGTTGTTAAAATGTAAAATCGATAATTATAATTCGTATAATATATGTATTGCGAAGAAAAGGTAGGGGGGACGGGGGGTGAAAAATGAATAACGCGGTGTACGGGGTCGGGGGAAAACCCATTAAAATCCTCTAGACTGGCAGTCTCCGTGCCGTACACAAGAGAAACGGATTATTTTTCGGTTATCGGTATGAAATTTGACAAGTCAGACTTTGATGCCTATAAGCCGGCTATAATATAACGTGAACCGTATTATAATAATATATACGCGCGCAGAAGGGATTTATATTATAATGTGCCTGCACGGGTGGCGTATTTACGGACCCGCACTGAGCCGGGGCACGAGCGCCCGAAATCAGTTTGTGTCCGTAAACGCGTCGCTACTGCGGATCCCCCGCCGTTCTAGGACACTTGCGCCTCGAAAATCAGTCAGCGTCCGCAAACACGTCTCTGCTACCGACCCGAACCTATTTGGGACGAGAACCAACGGCCATTGCGTTTTCAATGTACGTATAAATTATTTTATTTTCCGTTCTAAATTATTTCGACATCGAGTTGTACTAATACTCTGTTTCGAAAAAGAACACGCCGATTCCGTTGACCGGTTTTCGCTCGGCGGCGCGCATCCCCACCGGTTCAAAGACCCGTCAAGACCGCAGGCACCTGTGTCAGACGTGTTATTTCTTAACGAAAACTGGACGCGAATGCGGTATGTTTCCCTTTTGAAACACAGTGTGCGTACATCTGAATGCGAATGATTTCTATTTATAGTTTATATTATATAATATGAACTATACGAAAATAAATTATAATTATAAATATTTAATATTAAAAAACACGAAATATTATGAGACACTCCGTACACCTATTATGTACACGGTAAAATGTCTTAATCTTGTCAGATCTTGGTGTTTATGATAACTTCGGTTTACTCACAACTTTTGTTACTGTAGTCTATGAGATCGTTGTTTTCGTATTAATATATTTATTAAATAATGTGTCGAATATAAATTATTCAATTTCAATATTCGGTGCGTTCGATCGCCAATGTGGACAATTTTGATTTTTATGACGGAAAAAACCGTGTGTGGTATCCACAAAAACACAAATTAATATTGAAAAAGACGAAACATTTAGTAATAAATGTGATTCGTGGGTCAAATAAAAAAAAAAAAAGGTCGTCGGATAAATGTTGAGCTGCGGTTGCTGGTCAAAGAGACAAAAATAAAAAAAAAAAAACGAAAATTCAGGTGCAAACATAGAAAACAACACGCCGAATTCTGAACACCGTTAAATTTATATTTTTTGCTTTATCAATTGTAATATTATTTATATTAGGTATAACTTGACTATAGTGTATGCGATGACTATAATTTATGACATTTATCTGTGAGTATTTTGAATTATGGTATTTTTTTAAATTAGTATTGTTTAATATTCCTGATAATTATAAAGCAATATTTATGTGTAACAATTAATATACAACGTACATTAAAATATAATAAGTATACACAGTGTCTCGTGATTTTTCGCCTAATGCAATATGCAAAATATATGCACAATATTAATAATGCAAAATAAAATCATTTAAATGTATATTGAAAATACAATGGCTGTTGGTAATTGCCCCAAATCGGTTGAGGTCTGCAGTAGACGGATGCTAACTGATTTCGGCCACTCATGCCCCGGCTCGGCTAGGGTCCGCAATTACGTGTACGGTTATAACGGAGTACAATTGTTTCGTGTACAAAATATAAAAAAAAAAAATGACTTTAACAAATTTAGTATGTATACAATTTAACGGACCGACTGTTATTAATTTATATATATAGTTCTAAGGCCATGGTATGAGTTTAGGGATGGCAACGATATAACGGTGTTTGGTCACCGATATTTTAGTGCAGTGGTTCTCGACTTTTATGTTAGGTTAAAAAATAATCTCGCCCCTCTTAAAAACACCATGAGCGAAAAAAAAAACACCAATGAAAACATTCCTAGATTCGATTCCTATACATAATATTATATAATATTCGTAGAAATTCGTATCTTTTTAAAAATTAAAGCCACCCGAGCAACTCCCCCCCCCCCCGTCACCCTTTATCTAAATACCACCTTGATCGTAATTTTTGTCGGTATCCGATAACCGGTCAATATTCACTTTTCATTTTTTCCCTACATCGTAAAACGAAAATAATTTAATAAATACAAATACAAATTTTATTTCTTGATGACCGCTTGCGCCCCTCTCCTCCAACAATGTGTTCACACCCTCCAGTTTGGAAAATTCAGTATTAGCGTGATACGTCGGAAATCGGAATGTCGGAATAACAACAGTTTTATGAATTAATTTTTAATATAAATTCACAATTCATTTTCATGGGTCGTATAATACTCGCGTTCGTCGAAATCTATTTTTTATGGAAAATTTATAGTAACCGTTGGTTAGAGTATCGATATTTTAGGAAAATATATCGTCGAAATTAATTATTAAAAAAAAAAAATCAAAATCAAAACAAAGTACGGCTTTGTTAGTTGTCCTGGGAAAAACTCCCAAAGGCATTAGATAAATATAAATTATAAATAGGAGTGTTTGCAATCAGTTTAACACTCAAGAAATAGAATTTTAGGAAAAAAAATTAATTGAATTTAATTACTTTGTTTTTTTTATTCTATTGATGACGATATTCGGTTCATTACCACTGAATTGTAGTTTAACTAATTGTACACGATTTTTTAAATTTTACATTTGAAATAGCATTTTGGAAGCTTAAAATCAATAATATTGAAGTCGCTTTAAAAAATACACATTAATAGGTATTTGGATCGTTTGTTTTTACCAAATACCTACGGTGTTTAGTTCCTTTTTTTTTTTTTTTGTACGAATTAATCTGTATTTTAAACCATTTGACAATCACGGGAAACTTTTTATATTATAGTTTTTTTTTTCCGAATATTGTAAAAACAAGACGCAGTGGAAACTCGACAACTCGAAGGAATGCCTTGGCCCTTGCATTTCAATATACGAAACGTGGGATAAATTTTCTCGATAATTCGGATTTCACCAACTAGAATTTCTCGATAAGTCGAATTTATTTGAGTTGAATTTCCGCTTATAACTAGAATTATTCGTCTGAAAGTTATTGAAATAGTAAATTAGTTTGTACAAATTTACGAATGGTTATCTATAACGATAACGTATAATAAAGTGTATGTTTACAAATAACGATGATTGTAATCAAAAACATATTAATTTCATCAGTCTTTACTTAATGCTTAAAAGACACGGTTATGAATTCGTCAACTACGTACACTACACGTACTTACGATATAACCTTTGATACTAAAGTTTATTTTATTATTAGCGTTTAGTTTAGTACATCATTGGTAAATGTGCGGATTATAAAATTAAGTATTTGTGTTGCATAAACAAATATGTTCGATAATTCGAATTTTTTTTTTTTTGCCCCGGACTGATTCTAATCATCGAAGTTCCGCTGCAATTTGGCTTTATACGACATATTTCGATATACCGCGGTGTAGATCAGCGATGTGTCGAAATTTCGATACATCGACGGTAAACGACATTTCACCGTCACAAAATACGTATACAATGCGAATGTACGCAATAATAACAAAAATAATAATACACTCGCGAAATATTATAATACTGTTGTCACACGCCCCGCGATTTCAATCATCCCGAAACGAATCCCGCGCGTTTCCCGCACACCTACCCGTGTGTGGTGTTACCTGCAGTATTACACCTACGGGTTTATCGATCGGGTCCGAAACGGTTATAACCTGCAAAATGCTCTTTCGGCTAGTTTTACCGTCCGATAATACCGTACAGTCGTACAAGTTGAATTTATCTCGTACCGCGAAAACGAGCGTGGCCGTCAATAGTGCAGCTTCCGACGTGAAACGCTTCGTTATTGCGCCTAAACGCACCGAACGCGCGTTTAGTGGTTCGGAATCGTGAAGGTCTTAAATGATTACAATAATCAATAGAGCTACGGGCGGCACGCCCTAAAAAACCATGAAAAAAAAGCGTGCGTTCCGGAAATCAATCGAATACGCTTTGAAGATGTACAGAAATACTAAGATATGCTCTAAAAAAAAATTCATTTTCCCGTTGAAAAAAAAAACAAAAAAAAAGTTTATTTATTCTTCTTTCTTTTAACCGTCGTCTTTTACATTTTTAATAAAGCGAAAAATGTTTCGGTTTTTTTTTATTTATCCGTGACTAAATTTTCTACCAGCAATTTTGATCCAATTTTCTAACGTACTTTTTCAGAAAGAAAATTTGATGGGGACGGATTTTTTAAGTTTTCTCTGAGATTTTCGTAATAAATGGGAAAAAAACATAGTAAATCCGGGAAAACCCGTAAATATTACGGCTTTTCATAACACTTTTAACAGAACTCCGCTCAGAATCGTCTTTCATTTTCAACAATAAATCTTTGCGAACTGTTATAAATTACGTTTCCCTTCTACTTTCCCAACTACTCATCTATAACAGTGGCCTACCCATCGTACGAAAAATGTCCGTTTGTTTTTCAATTTGCCTTTTAACAAAAACAAAACTTCAATCATAAAATGCATATTGCATTTACGATTTCATAATTATTATTTTATTTTATTTTGACCCGAATGAAAAATCGCATAAGCCCATTAAAATTTGTCGAATTTTTTTGAACGTAAATGGACGACAAGTGACGGTTTTATAACATTTTATTTTATTTTCCCCCTTAGAAACGAACGCTCGACATCAAAAGATGTTCATGGAGCGAATTCATAGTAATGCGAACCGTTTACTTGCAAGTTTTCAAGGCAATTTTCTACAAAACCGTCTATTAATTTTAAAATGTTCATCATTTTTCTATAATTTTTAATCATGCATTTTTTTTTGCTAGTAAGTTTTCTTAATCGTTTTAAAATAACTTTTCCATTTTCTTCTTGTGGACTTTGTAACTTTTCTTTGGCAGTTTCCGTAATAGAGGAAGACATACAATCAATTTTAATCGTTATTATTGTTATTATGATTATTATTTCAAGTAAAAAGATTAATTATTTTATATCGGTATATGAAAAATTCAATTAAAATACAAACTGTTCCGTTATTCGAAGCAAAACACATGTTTGTGTTGCTCGGGCGCATTTTGAATGATTATTGAAAAACTCGGCGTCTTTTACAAGTCTACCGTGACACTGCACGACAAATTACAGCGATCCAGCTCGGTATTCGCGGAGGTTATGCACCGACAAAGTCGCGCGGACATTACAAAACCGCGGATAACGAGACCGCAAAAACTGAACAATTGACGATTGCATTGATCGTACGCACGTGTACCTTAAACGGCATTTGTCTCTAATGGCCCAGTACACTCGAATGTATTGTTATATACCTAACGGCGTAACAAAATTCATCATCTGACCTTATCCGAAACAAATTACAGCGTTCGCGTACTAACGATAAAATGTACGGATTATCGAATAATAAGTATGCACGAATTAACCGCGGATAAAAAAAAAAAAAAAAAAATCGGCGGATGACGAGAGATTACTATAAATACACGATTACGAAAACGCGTCATATTGTACACACAAATGTACGCGTTTCCGGGTGATCACACGCGCAAAGTTTACCGTTAAATTTATTCTTTCTCGTTATTATAAAATATAACAGGTTATTTACACAGTATGAACGAACAGCATATAAATTAGTATAAAGCATTTATACAGCAAAAAAACCAAAAAGTACGGACACACTTCGCACAATGGGCGGGCCACTGTTGTTGGTGAGAAGCCGGGAAGGTAGGATATAGGGGAGAATTTAATGTTTATCCGTACGCAGTACTTAATCTTCACTAACTAAAAACGATTCTGAGCGGTGTTCGGTTGTATGTGTTTAAATATTCACGATTCGAGAATAATACGTTTCGTTCATTTTCCCGTTTGGCCTACATTTTTTTATCGGTTTTTCCCATTTATTTTTAAAATCAATAAAATTGACCTCTCTAAAGTTCCACCCCAGTCAGATTTCCTTTAGGGAAATGTGCTGTAATTAAAATCAGAGAAAAATTTCCGGTAGAAAAGTTGCTCGCAGAAAAAAATGGAAATTTGATGTAAACATCATTGTAAAACCGATATAGTCCTGGCTCCGGTCAAAATCTAAAAATCCAAAATCAATGGAACCGGTGTTGAATATTAATTTATTATTATTGTCATATAGCCGTGCAAAAGGCAATTGTAAAGTTGAAATAACGATATCAAACCGAACGAGTATTTTAAAAGTCATTCGTATCGCAGCGATGGGTAGGCAAGTAGGTTTTAAGGTGTTTACCGATTTTTGTCGAGTTTTCCCCGAAAATATCAGGGACTGTTGCGGTGCATCGTGTCCGTTACGCAAATTTATTTGCACATCATCTTCCCGATACGAAACAAACGCGGCGCGACGAAAAATGAATACGGACAAACGTTAACGCTTTCCTAGACAACGAGCGACGTCTTATCGAGGATCGTTCGCCGCACGCAGTTAAAAAGTTACCTGTTCGGTGGCACGGCTGCATCCGAAAACCGCATACATATACGGTTTCCGTCAAAAAAAAAAAAAAAGGTCGGTAGACAAAAACCGCACACTTATCGGTCGACAGGCGGGTACTTTGCATAGCCGAACACCGCGCGCTTATAGCAGGGCGAAACTGTACGCTAACCATAAAATTTAATGTTACAGAATAATCATCATAAAATACATTGTTATAAGAACGATGAACATGTCGTCCGTCCGATTAAAAAACAAATACGAGTTGATTGATGGACGCACATTTCAATATTAGTACACGCGTAATTTTCTGATGTATTGTGTTTGATTTCGGGACCACTTGTTTCAATGTCGGCGAGCATTTTCGTAGAACGTAGATAGTTTGAAATTGTTCAAAAAAAAAAAAAAAAAAAAAACCCTTGTCTATCGATTCGTACCGATAATTGTATAAATATGTTTATTTTTTTTCAACATTTTTTAATTCTTCAAAGAACGTCGGTTTTTCACTTAAAATTTCAATCATTTTTTTTTTTTTTTTTTTTTTTTTTTTTTTGATTTTATATCGATATTTGACAACACTAATTAGGATACAATAATAATATTTGATATTTTTTTCATACATATTTTTATATTAGTTATCAATCAATAATAGATTGTACATTATTATGAAATGTTCGATTTTTTGATATAAAAATTTGAAAAAGTGTGCAGTTTTCGGATTCATCGGGTGGCACGTTTATATATATATAATGTATTGTTCAAATTTGTTTTTCAATTTAAAATATTTTCGAGTAGGTATACAATATTGAAGAAGCAGAAAAAAAAATATACCCTGTTTAATATCTAACGTGCAGTTACCCGGCACGGCTAAATATCAATTGTCGTCCCTTTTCACAATATAAATATAAATAAATATATTTTCATGTACGTATATACTCCAGTTTGGAGAAAAATGGCCGAAAATTGTTTTGGGCGGGAGGGTAGGGAATATGATTATAATATATTATTATTATTATGTATGGGGAGTTCGTATTACGACAGTCGAGAGAAAGCAATAAATTACGAAACACAAACGACGACGAATCAATACCCGTAACGATTTCTGGGCTCGCTAGTAACATCCCCGTCCGTCCCCGAAGGTTTCGCCGCCGCCGCCGCCGCCGCCACCGCGAGCTCGAGCATCGAGTTTCGACCGCCAAAAAATCGTTTGTCGGCGGAACGTGGTCACCGGGGTTACGAAGCGTTTCGAACGGCCGTTTACAACGTTTTAAACGTTCACAAATCGAACGTAAACCGCCCGATAGTTCCCGAGGAGTGAACACACGTTTATCGCCGTTCCTATTCGTTCTTGAAACACAACCGAAACTAAACGTTATCTGTAATATTCGTTATGCCCGGTGTATTAACAGTTGCATATTGTTTTTGGTGACAACATGAACATTCCGACTATGAAACGAATTGGTTTCGTACTTCACAGATGTCATATTGTAACGAAATCGTTTGGAACTGTTTTCGCATAGTTAGGACTAAATTACAGTCGCGGTTATACGGTTATTTTTCACTTGGGCTTTTAAATAAC